CGCTGAAAGAAAAAAACATTGTCTTTATCCGATAGTAAAAATATCAATTTTATCTGAAAGTAATTGCTTTTGTACTTACCAGAAATTGTCGACGTTCCTCAGCCTCCAGCCTCCGACGCAATGCTACTCTCTCCGAGTCAGCTCTCTCATCTACGTCCAACATTAAGCACTCCCAAATCCTCGTGCAAAACACACAATTTGATTTTAATGTCAAATGTATGTCACAAGTTAAAGTATCATTGAATCTATTGTGATCTCTTAGTATTGCGTTTATACCAATTTCACGATTACTTAGAAGTTTTGCCAGCGGTGGCATACAATAGACGTCCTGTCTATACATGATGAACTGACACTAAAACTCAACATGCAGCCAGAAATGTTTATACTCGAGAAAGATAAAAATCAAATGCGCTAGCATTCAGACACATGTTATAATTATTTCTACATCTCAATGTGCATGCACATACATGTTATACTTACCACTACATAGTAACATTGCTACATCTCCATGTCACAATAATGTTGTGAGAACAAAGATACATGTTATACTTACCACAACATATTAACGTTGTCACATCACCATGCAGCGGTAATACCATGAAGGCACATGTGTATAACTAGACGCGGGGTCGCGAAAGGGGGTCCAGCGCGGGCCCTGTTGCAATTTTCTTTCTCTCTCCCTCCCGCGGTATCTCCGTCCCACCCATTGCATGATTCTCGCGCGCGATGTAATTCAACAAAGAGAGAAGGAACGAAATAATTTAACACATGATTTATACATTTAACACATGATGTATATTTAACGTATAGTTATTTATGTAACGCATCGTACACAATATGATCTGATGCGTAAGCTATGATTTCACAATCAATAAGCGAAGTTTTATCATACATCTTATGCAAAATATTTATCGCATCACCTTTATTCACGACACAATTTTGATGTAAATAAACGACAAACTGCTTAAATTTTTCAATAATAGCATCTGTATTTTGACTTAAATAAAAGTATACTTGCTCAACGCAATGTTCGAGTTCGAATATAAAAATCATAGTTGACGGTTTCATATACATACAAGTATCATTTAGTGTCAATTCTACAATATTTTCAGTACGTATTTTTACAAGTTCTACAACCAGGTCTTGAATTCTTAGCGAGGACGGAACGCTTGATTGCAGCAATCGCTCAATGTCCATACGTCTCTCGATGAATATCTTCCACAATCCGTAAGGCCACCAGTTAGATATTTTATACGCGTTAAAGATAAAAATGAACGTGTTAGCATTCTCAATGTCGTGGTAATGTTATGAAGACACATAGTATGAAACCGTCATCGAACCACCTGTCGAACAGATACCGCTGTTCTGTTGAACAGCTATTGATCTGATACCTCTGTTCTATCGAATCGCTGTCAAACCAATACCACTGTTCTGTCTTACCGCTATCGAACTGATACTCCTGTTCTGTCAAACTGATACCGTTGTTCTATCGAATCGATACCGCTCTTCTGTCTATCAGTCTTAATTACAAAGAAATCACATCTCATTCTTTCGTTTACGACCAGCATCAGTTAGATATTTTATACGCATCAGAGATAAAAATAAACGTGTTAGCATTCTCACACATATCACATATTAATAAAATATCGATGCAGCAATATCGAAGCCGTGGTAATGCCATGAAGACACATATTCGAACCGATACCGCTCTTCTGTCTATCAGTCTTAACTATAAAGAAATCACATCTTACTCTTTCGTTTGCGACCAGCATCAGTTAGATATTTTATACGCGTCAAAGATAAAAATGAACATGTTAGCATTCTCATACACACGTCACCTCCCAATGTTACAGGAATACCGTGAAGGCACACAGCATGAAATCGCTATCGAATCGATACCCCTATTCTATCGAACCGCCAGTCGAACTGATACTTCTGTTCTATCAAACTGCCTGTCGAACTGCCTGTCGAACCGATACCCCTATCCTGTCGAACTGCCTGTCAAACTGATACCCCTGTCTTGTCGCATTGCCTGTCATACCGATACCAATTTTCTGTCTGTCGGTCTTAACTACAAAGATATCACATCTTATTCTTTCGTTTGCGACCAGCATCAATTAGATATTTTATACGCATCAAAGATAAAAATGGACGTGTCAACATTTCAATGTCGCGGTAATGTCATGAAGACACATAGTATGAAACTGTCATCGAACCATAACCGCCGTCGAACCGGTATCGCTGTTCTGTTGAACAGCTATCGATCTGATACCCCTGTTCTGTCGAACCACCTGTCGAATCAATACCGCTCTTCTGTCTATCAATCTTAACTACAAAGAAATAATATACTTTCGTTCGCGACAATTGCCAGATATTTTATACGCGCCCAAGATAAAAATGAACGTGTCAGCAATCTCACACACGTTACATCTCGATATCATAGTAATGCCATAAAGACGCATCCCAAGTATACACATATTCGTTTTAGAAACTTTTCACAATTGTTTCTTTGAAACGTTTCATAAGCGACTCTTAAAAACGTTTCTGAGTGGTTAAAATGTCTATTCGAAAAATGTTTAAAAAGTAAAAACATATTTCTTTTTAGTGAAAAAAACGTTTAAAAAATATGATGGAAATCGATCGACGATGGATCGATTCTCCGCTGCGTCAACTACACTCATACTTATAAAACATATATATAATATGCACATATACACAAAAAATACACATCAGAAAACATCTGCCTGATGTTTTCAAATCCAGTTCACGGATTAAAGACTATTATGAAATGACAAAGCGAAGGGATGCATCTCGTAGGGTGCACAACGAAGGGTGCGCTCTCCCATATACCTGCGTATAATACGCAGGTATAAAAGTCCATAGCACTGTATCATCAGTACACCATTAAAATTTCGAATTTTGAACTGAGACTTTAGAAACATATTTTTCAGATACTACTAATGATTTATGCAAAAAATTGACTTTTTTATCTGTTACATAAGGATCCCCCCTTAAATCGATTTTGTTGGTATCATAACAATTAATAATAATTTGAGCTACCATGTCAATATTATTAAGAAAAAAATTATTTTCAAAAATTTTTTTAAATATTACTAATATAAATAAAAATAAGTAGTTTCATTATAAAACTTTTGTATGAGTTATTTTTTGGCAACATAATTGTTTTTGAGATATAACAAAAAAAGCGGCAAAGTGCTTTACATAAAACGATAGTTTTTTAAACTCTTAATCGTTTGTTGGCAACATTATAGACCTTATAAGTATGGACTGGCAATATAAGCAAGATTGTGTCCGTACTTTTCTTTCTAAAAGTGTCGAAAGTACGTTTCACGCTGACATATATTATATATTAAATATATTCTGATTGATACATATATTTAATTTTATTGCTCGCATAGGTTGTGTCATATCATAACACGTGATCAACGCACGATATGTTTCATTAATCTGCGCAATGTATATTTCCGGATACTTTAAGAAAGAAATGTACCAAAAAGTACGTTTCTCTCTCTTCAATCTCTCTTCAACACTGTTTCTTATACAGAAACTATAGCACATTGCCAATCCATACTAAGATCTATCGTTAACAACAAACTGATGTTTTCTAAATTTATCTATTAGTCGTATAATTGAGTATTTATATCAATGTTCATATTTATATTGTTTCATTTTTTTTTATCCGTGTCGTGGGAAGAAAATGACAAAGCTTTCATTTCTACTGTTTTATTTGTACTGTTATATCATCTTGCGATAGATATAGTACGAAATATGTAAAAGAATATGATAAATTATATAAATATTGATAACATTTCTAAAAATATGTAGTATTATGTTAATTTTTTTGTTAGTTTCAACTATCCGGTTTGTATAATTCTATGTTAAATAAAATGCGTAATTAAAAGTGTCTTTAGCCTCAGTTTTTTATAATTAGCATCATTTATATCTTGATCAATCCGATCAAATCATTACAATAGTTTAAATCTAAAAATTAAAATTTGACATTATCATATAGTGTTTTAAAAAAGTCTTGATGCCAGTTTTCGAAATCTGTAATAAAAAATTGAGTTATTCATTTAAATTTTTATTAAGATATCTTAACAAGTCGGTTCAAAGTTATTTCAAGGTTATGCAAATATTGTCATCTGGTAGAGTTTTTTAAACACTGCATGTTTTGTTTGAAACATTTCTCCGTACAACCAGTAATTTTATCGAGATAATCGTTTTGGACCACCCTGTATATTATATCTCACGCGTGCGCGCGCGTGGTGTGTGTGTGTATGTGTGAGTGTGCAGGGTGTCCCATAACTCTTAATTAATATTTCATGGGGTAAAAGAGAATGAAATTTTGAACTAAAAGTTTCTTCCCCAACTTTAATTCAGATCATTTTATTTATAAAGTTATTAACGAATAAAGTTGATTAATTAGACTGCGCTCAGCAAGAGGCGTAGCTTGCCATGAAGCTCCTCGCGCTTACTGTACATTCTCCCAATTAAAATTTTGTTCTAATTTTTTATCTTAATAAATAAGTAAACAAATAAATAATAGCAAATGAATAGTAGTCTGAGCTAAAATTGAGAAAGAAACTTTTAGTTTAAAATTTCACTTTCTTTCACTCCTCAAAATATTAATTAAGAATTATGAGACACCCGATATATATATGTATACGTGTGTGTATGCTCGCATTTTCGTGTAAGCATAATAGGAAATAACGATGGAAGGAATATTTCTGAAACTTTATGTACATATCACGAAACTTTTATTGCGCACGGCGTAGATAATACGAATATTTGAATGAGACGTAGCGTCTAGATTAACATAGCGAAGAAATATAAGAACGTGAAATTATTATTACACATACTTTATCTATCACCAGTTGTAAATGTAAATGTAGTTATATAAATGTAAGCAGTGTGAAATATATATCGCACTTATTTATTACATTTATTGTTACAAATGAAATTAATATATCTTACAAAATTATTGATTAATTCTTTAGTGTCATGTTGTTTTAAAACCATCGAAAGAAATCAAATCACAAAGAATTAAAGATCAAAAATGACTAAAAATAGCAATAAAGCGAATGTTTGAAGTAGGGTTAGTACACAAGGCAGCTGCAATCTTAAAATGCTGTCGCTATATGAAGTTTAGTTCAGTACATCGTGACATCATGTATTAGTAACATCGTGTATCAGAGTGCAACAGTTGCTACGATTTTATATGTAAGTATACTTAAATTATAAAAATTTAGATTAATATTTATACTTTCCGTATAATTTAAAGCATTTAGCCTGTAAAAATGAGTTATTATACGAAATTCTTATTTGTATTTTTATTACAGTGTTATTACTGCACAATAAAATCTCTTATTAGTGTTTGCATTACTTTTGTGAGAAAACAATTATAACACAGTTATCGTACATTAATTACGTACAAATAACGTTCATATTCATAAAACTACTTTTTTTCTTATGTTTCACGAAGAACAAAAATCCAAATGATATAATATATATAAATAATAATAATGCAGTATACACTTATTATACTTTAAGAATAAATTAAAACGTCTTTGATTTAATTAATAATATACATATATATATAGTGAGTTGCTTACAATAAAGCGTTACTATTCTTTAAATATAATTACTATTTTTATTTTAAAAGATGTTTATATATTTACATTTTATTATTTATATTTATTATATTGGCACTTTTATGTTGAATTTGATATTATCTCGGAGCCATAAATCTTGTTTGATATGATCTTGTATATTTTTATTATTTATTATTTTTAAACAATAATTCAATCCAAAAAATTCATAATAATAAAAAACTGCAAAATGTACTGCTTTCTGTTTACAAGAGACACATGAATGAATCATCAAAAATGAAGTTAGGAAGTGAGGTTATAAAATCTTATCTACATAGATATATAGGGTGCCCCAAAACTCCTAATTAATATTTTAAGGTGTGAAAGAGAATGAAATTTTAAACTAAAATTTATTTTCCCAATTTTGGCCCAAACATTTTATTTACAGAGTTATTAACGAAAAATTGATCAATCAGATCGCGTTTAGTTGGAGTACGCAGTACGGGGCAGTACGCAAGAGCATAGCTTGTCATATATGCGGCTCTTTGTGATTACTATATATTCCCCCAATTAAAATTTTATTCTAATTTTTCATATTAATAAATAAGTAAACAATTAGTAAATCAATAAATAAGGTAAGTAAATAGATGAATAAATAAACACACACAAATAAATATAACAAATAAGAATAAATTACAGTTAGAAATTTATCCAATTTCTAATTGTTTTTATTCTTATTTATTATTTACTTATTTGTTTAATTTAATTATTTAATCCATTTGTTCAATTCAGTTATTTAATTTTCATAACTAACCTATCAGCAATGAGGAAAAACTAACTACCGGATGTTTGTCATGGTTATAAAAGAAGATTATTGGCAAAAAATATTATACAAATAAATTGTTTGCACAACTTCTTCAAAAATTGTTGCATGATTCGTACGTATTTTTTTCGTAGAAACCGATGATGCTATCAGTTTTTACTTAAAATCAGTTTTTAAAGAAATTGTTTATACAAATTGTTTGTAAACAATTAATTTTGATAATTTCTTAAAATTGGTATGTATCTTATGATTCTTACGTATTTTTCCCTTACAATTCGACAGCGCTATAATTTTAAAAATTCTGAAATTAACGAATACGTAAATAATTTAATGTATGTAATTAATTTTATCTTCAATCATCATTTTAATCTTTTTATTACCTAAAATAATTTCTTTTGTTATAAAGAAAGAAGAGGTGAAAGGTTTAAAAAAATTAGGATATTTTACTTTTTAATTTTTCAAATGTTTTATTTAATTTTTTTTTCTTTAAAAGTAAAACATAAAAATCATGTATATCAAAACAATTTTTAAAGAAGTTGTGTAAACAAATTATTCACAAACAATTTATTTTAATAATGTTTTTAATAAATAATTTTTTATAAATATGACAAACATTCCATAGTTAATTTTTCCCCGTCGCTAATAGGTTAGCTATGAAAATTAAAAGCATAAATTGAACAAATGAATTAAATAATTAAATTACACAAATAAATAATAAATAAAAATAAAAACAATCAGAAAAATTGGATAAATTTCTAACTGTAATTTATTCTTATTTATTCATTTGTGTGTGTTTATTTACCTACCCTATTTATTGATTCATTTATTTATTAATATGAAACTTATTTATTAATATTAAAAATTAGAATAAAATTTTAATCAAGAGAATGTACAGTAAGCGCGAAGAGCCGCATGGCATGCTACGCTCCTGCGTACTCCGGCTAAGCACGATCTAATTAATCAACTTTATTTGTTAATAACTTTGTAAATAATAGTTTGAGCTAAAATTGGAGAAGGAACTTTTAGTTCAAAATTTCAT